ACCCAAGAAACTCCGCCTCTAATACAAACTTCGCCAATCACAGCTAGGACAAACTCCGCCTGCACCCAAGAAACTCCGCCTCTAATACAAACTTCGCCAATCACAGCTAGGACAAACTCCGCCTGCACCCAAGAAACTCCGCCTCTAATACAAACTTCGCCAATCATGTTAGGTCAAACTCCGCCTACACCCAAGAAATCCCCCCCCCCCATATTCTAAACTCTTCCAATCAAGTTAGGACAACCTCTGCCTACACTCAAGAAACTCCGCCTCTATTCCAAACTTTGCCAATCACAGCTAGGACAAACTCCGCCTGCACCCAAGAAACTCCGCCTATATTCCAAACTGCCAATCACAGTTAGGACAAACTCCGCCTGCACCCAAGAAACTCCGCCTATATTCCAAACTGCCAATCACAGTTAGGACAAACTCCGCCTGCACCCAAGAAACTCCGCCTATATTACAAATTCTGCCAATAACAGTGAGGACAAACTCCGCCCACACCCAAGAAATCCCCCCCCCCCATATTCTAAACTCTTCCAATCAAGTTAGGACAACCTCTGTCTACACCCAAGAAACTATACCTATATTCCAAACTCTGCTGGTGCCAATAACAGTGAGGGTAAACTCCGCCCATGCCGGTTATGACAAACTCCGCCCACACGAAGAACTCTGCCAATCACGGTTAGGACAAACTCCGCCCACCCAACAAGAAACTCCCCCTAAATACAGCAGAAACCACTACTTGAAAGTTTCTTGGACGGATAAAACAAAATTATTATTGACTTCTTGTTCTAATCTTGGCCTGAAAACTTAAAACAGGGGCCATGTTTGGCTAGCTGTTAGCCTAGCCTTTACAAAGATTTTAGCCTTTTTCTCAGTGCTTTCTGACATAACAGCTGATATTGCATCAACAACTATTTAATAGAACCTCCTTGCACTGCATCCATCGTCTTTTCCCGCTTCTTCTTTCTGGGTTGCATGGAGCCGGTGTCCATGTCCAGCAGTCTCTGAGCGGAAGACGGGGTCCACCCTGGACAGGTCTCKCCGGTCCATCTCAGCTGCAGAAATTAACCAGAGGACACGTCTGTCCGTGAAAGCACAGCGGCTAAAAATGGCGCCACATTTGTTTTCTATCAGATGATTCAAATGTCCTGTCATTTTTTCCATTTTTGGTCCGAGCCCCCAGGAGAAGGACGACGGTTTGGGGTTTTTCCAGTGCAGCTAACTTTAGAACGTCTCACATCTTGTCCCCTTTCTCCTAACCAGTGTCTCACACACTCACACACTCACACACACACACACACACACACACACACGCTCCAGACTGAGAGAAAACAGCACCCATCCTCCTGCATCTTTCTAACAGACACTCCTCTGAACGGCAGCTCTTTTACCGAAGTGATGAATGTTTATTTTATTTTTTTTAAACTTTTTTTTTAACTCACTATGAGTCACAGCTTTAGTGTGAGGCTTTGTGTCGCAGCTTCAGTGTGTCACAACAAGTTCCCTTCAAACTCAGGTGAAGGATTCTGAAGTGTTTGCACAGCTGGTGCTGCTTGGCCAGGTGAGCCGGGTCACCTGTAAAGAACTAAAATCACATTGTGATGTTTTGAATATCGAGCCGTGTCTTCGTAGCTGAGGGTCAATCCAGTGGTTCGTGAGATATTTCGCTAACAGACAAACAAGTAAAAGCATAATGAGGGGACAGTTTGAGCTGAACTGGTCGGAGTTCAGGAGGATTTTTCCGGTGCGTAAGCTCTTTTCTCTGGGCTGGAATCTTCTGCAGGATGAAAACGAGCCGTCTCTCTCTCTCTCAGTAATGGTTTTACCACGAGGCGCTGCAGGTCTGCAGGACTCACTCCTATTCTGAGCCACAGAAACATCTGCAGCTTTCAAAACGTCCTGAACCATTTCCCCTCCTGTCTCTCCCCCCCAATTCTCCCTCCTCATCGTCATCTGCGAGATTGAACACCTCCCTCCGACTCTTTAAGCATGTTGGCTTCATACTTGCGGCGCAAAAGAAAATAGCTGAGCTGTGGTTTGAGTGATGAGTCGCTCTGATGTTTGGTGATTCTGGTGATTTGTGGTGCTCCTCAGAGACTTCCAGATGTGTAGCAGAGAAGAAGTACACAGAGCAGCAGGCCAAGAGGCACGTCTTCGTGCCTGTATGTAACCCCGACGGCACATACAGCGAGGTAACRGAAACTACACACAATGCAGCTGAGATTAGCTGAAGAATGAACTGAATAAAAGCTGAAAAAAACAAGAGTACCTGCAGTTAAAAGCTAAAAATAGTTAGCTGAATGCTAAATGTGGCAAATTTGCAGATAACTTCAATTTTACAAGTTTGGAAAAATATGTCATTTAATTTCAGCAGCTATAAACAAAATGAATTATTCAAAAGGAACAAAATGGCAGCTAAAATTAGCACAACAGCTAAAAACTAAGTTTAGCTAAAAGTCAAATTACACAAGCACAAAATGGATATCATTTAATTTCAGAAGCTAAACAGCTAAATGTTGCAAAAGAGTAGCTAAATATGTCTAAACTGTAGCTAAACATAAATTATCTGAAAAGTAGCTAAAAACAAGATGTGACAAAACTATAGCTAAAAGCTAATTTAACTCGGTAAAGTAGATTTTTGTTTCATTTCAATTGCTAAAAGCTAAATTTAGCAAAAAAAGTACTAGCTGCTATAATAAAACTAGGCAAAAAGCATTAATTAGCAAAACAGAAGCTAACAGCTAAATGTTGCAAAAGAGTAGCTAAATATGTCTAAACTGTAGCTAAACATAAATTATCTGAAAAGTAGCTAAAAACAAGATGTGACAAAACTATAGCTAAAAGCTAATTTCACTTTGCAAAGTAGATTTTGTTTCATTTCAATTGCTAAAAGCTAAATTTAGCAAAAAAATACTAGCTGCTATAATAAAACTGTTGCTGAAAGCATGCAGCAAACTGTAACTGACAGCTAAATGTAGCTTAAATAATAGTTCATAGCTAAATGTGGCTGCACAGTTGCTAAAGGCTCATTTTAACAAATATAAAATTAGTTTTTCACTTTCAGAAATAAACCTTCACTTTATAGCTTATTACTTTAGCAGCTAAAAGCTAAATATAGCAAAAAAAACTAGCTGCTAAAATAAAAT